ACCACACAGAGAATTTTAAGACATATGTTAATAAGACATTGTGTTTCATTTCTGGGAGGCTTTATAGCACCTTTCAGGTAGTTAATTCTCAAACACGTGTGGGTGGAGTGTGAGTGCAAGTCTTGGAAAAGCAGTGGTAGAGGTGAGAACAGTGACGAAGCGCTCTTCACCTTTCAGCGATTGCCCTTCACAATGGAAGGGCCGCCCCTATCGCCACCACTGTCAACTGCCACAGCCCTCAGGGGGTGGATTAGTGTAAGGAGGGAGGAAAAATTCAGGCCTATATTTATTTTCTTTTCAAAAGATTCAATAAATAATTCTTGAATGCCTGTTACGTACTAGAGAGGTACCACGTACTTGGTGGCATATCACAAACAAAACAAAGATCCCTGCCCTCATGGAGTTAGCAGTCTGGCATTTATGACCAATTTACCTGCATCCTGTGCAAGTCACCACACCTCTCTGTGCCTCTGTCTTCAGCTGCCCAGTAGGGAAATGAGCAGGACTGGCTCAGATATAAGTATGCCTGGTGTTCTGTAGTTGCCAACAGGATATCCATCCTCAACCCTCCGCCCAGGCAGTGGGTAGGGCTGGAAGTAAATTGGAAAAGGGCAGAGGAATTTGAACCAGTCATCTGGGGTACCGCGGTGGTGGTGGACAGGGCCCAGGCTGGCTACACGGACCGCTGCTGTGGCGGCATCTCAGTGGTTGCCTTGCTCGCCAGGTCCTTGGCCTTCTCCGCACCGTCAGTGCTGTCTCCTTTGCCTTCGCCTTGACTTTTCTGGCTGTCTCAGCAAGCATTTTGGAAGGTGCTTCATCTGGCAGCTTGGCCAAGACGTACTCAAAACTTCTCATGATTTCAGTCATGTTGCTTTTGAAAAGAGCATGACCAAGTTCCTGGAGAGCTTTGGAGACACTAGATAAGCTAGGGAAGACTCAGGCTTCCCTGAGGATTACAGACTAGCACTGTTCTCAGAGTTCACAAAGTAAATGCATCATCCCTCCGCCACCATCAGCTGGGCGTGGTTGATGCTGCAGGTAAAGGTGGTCCCGTCTGATTCCGTGGGTGAGCAGTAGAGTCTGCCAGGATGGACACTGGGTGAGCATCATTGGCAAGAAATAGCCACTCAGCCCAGCAGGACATCCCATTGGTCTTGTTCAGGACAGAAGCTTCTGGGCAGGGGTCAGCTCCTCAGAGTCTATGTTTTTGGTCAGAACATGTTTGCTATAGGGATTTGAGTACCAACGTACTCAAGGTAGTGAACATTTGGATTCAGAAATTCTGGAGGCTGTTCTGGCCTAGGAATACTTCATCATTATTCCAGCCAGGGTAAACGAGCACCCGTGCAGCTACAGGGCACAGAGCCCAATGGGCAGGGGTGTGTGTGCAGGGGATTGAAGGGGAGCTGGATTGTGGGCAGGGGGCTGGCAGGGGTGTTTGCTCATGGAGCTCAGGCTGTGACCAACCTGCTCCCACTGCCTGGAGCCGTTGTCAGGCACCAAGCTTATATCTCTTGCTTTATATTCAAGGGTGGGGAAAATAGACAGAAATGAACTATATGAGCATGAATCCAGTGAAGTGAACATTGGCAGTCTTAGAGTTGACTCAACTATCATGAAGCTTCTATTTCTTTAGGGAAATTCAGACCACTAAGTTGGAGGGAAATACACATGGAGTCTTTTTTTGCTTTCCTAGGGAAAAAGAGGCAGCTAGAAAATGTAAATACCACATCTCTGGCATAGGCTACAGCACCAGATGTTTTACTTCATCACCAAATGTGAAGCAAACCAAATTCATGATGAGATACCCAGACTTCATAGAGCTAAGAGTCTGGTTTATGGAAAGAGCTCTGGTGACAGATATGCTTAGATTAAAATCTTGCTTCTTAGACAACCTACTTCAGTCTTTCCAAATATCAGTTTCCTTAGTTGTTAATGCAAATTTTTTTTACCTTATAAGAATGTTGTGATAATTAAATGTAATTAATAATATACAAAGTATTGGGCCCTCATACAAATTAAGTTAAAAAATTAAGAAGCCATTATGTCTCAAACAAATATGCCAAGCGTTCAAAATTCACTAAAGGTTATACTTGCAAAGAACCGTAATGTCTTAATGTCACACAAGATCTGATTTCTAGTCCTGGAACATGCTACAGGCATGCTCCAAGCTCCCCTTCTTATGACTCTTTGAACTTACAGCTACAGAGGCTCCAGGAAAGTAGAAGAGCAGATACAGCCGAATATGCATGTCATTCATCCCCCGTATACATCTTTGAGTGTATGGGTATACACTCAAATATGGAAAAATTAGGCAAATGATTTTTTTCCTGATTCTCATTCTTATGTGAGCCATAACCAATTTTCTGATAGGTAGAAGCATAATTTACCACACTGGTATTTAGTTTATCCCCAGGCCAATTTTGAGCAAAGGATTGTTTTCTCTTGGAGTAAGTTTGCACAGCAACGGAGTTAGGCCCACATCTTTCAAGGTGAGTTATTTCTTGCCTAAAGCTCAAGCTGATCTAGGTTTCTATTAAAACAGAACGTCTCATAATGATGATGTCACAGAAAATAACTCATGGCTCATCTTTTTGCAAAGTATATCCCCATCAGACTTTTTAGGGGATACTGTATAGTGTTTATGCGTAAGGGACATAATTGGACATGTAATATGTCCAAATGTATAAAAATATAACCTGTGTTTTAATTCTGTAATGCACAGTTTTGGTGCCAAAGTAGGGAGAATGGGTTTTCAAATTCATTTTAAATATAAAAAGTAAGCTGGATTTGGAGAGAGAGGAAGGATGGGGGACTGATACATTTTTTAAAGCAACAATCTGTTGGATATATTTTCAGATTATCTCACTCCTTTTTTTCCCCTTTTGCAGCTTCCTTATATGGATATGTTTAGAGATATTCTGTAGCATTAGAATGTTGTAAAGTCACAAAATTCACTCACATTTCAACTGAGATGTGCAAAGAAATGTATCTCTTCTATTTTGCCCAAACCAATCTGGTCTTCCTGATTTGTGGTTAGTGCAGAAATTTTTAACTTTGAGTTCTATCTCATTTAAATTTAGTCTGATATAATAATGTAAACTGCTTCTTTGTACAATGCTAAGTCTCTCTATGAAAGGAAAGGCTCAGCATCAATACCTTTTGGGCCTTCATGGAAAAATGAGATGTTGCCTATACCCTATGGGAGTACCATATGATATGGGCCCTTCATGGTGGGTAGTTGATATGCTATATGGGGGCTTGTAGGGCACGTTGGGTGCCAGATTTAAGGCTGAGTGCCCCACAAGGTCCTGGGGTGAGCCTTATGCTGTGCTGAGGCGCAGGATCCGAGAAATAAAGAGACAGGATGCAGAAGTACAAAGAAAATGCAAGTGGGCTCAGGGGGCCATGCTACCTATAAGCAGAGTCAGGCGAGGCCGGCGAAGCGAGGCGAGACCCCGAATGTCCAGAAGTATGAGTATTTATTATGTATAGGTTAGGGGGCAGGGCACTGAGTGAAATCATCTTTAAGGATAGTGATAGGGTTGTGAGCAATAAAACATAGGGTCCACCCCCATTAGGTCACCTAGGCCAGGAGGTGGACAGTGCACAGCAAGGGGCCCGTTCCCACGAAGCAAGGGCCGTATGCAGTAAGGGGGTGCAGTGTGCGATACTTCTATCTATGGGAAAACTACTTCTAAGATTTATAGGAGGATGCTTTAAGTCACATAGCAGTGACAGAGCTGTCAAGGTTACTGCCACCTTCTGGCAGCTTCCAATGGATTTTATGGGAAGACGCTTTTCAAGCAGCACAGTAGCAAGAGCTGATGAAGTTCACAGTCACCAAGGTCGATTGCCGTTCTGAGGGCAGCCTTCCATAAGAACTGGAGCAAGATCCTACAACTCCTCGTCAGGAGGAGTGGCTCTCACCCCAAGCCTGCCATACAGCGAGTACCTTTACGATACTGAGCGCTGCCGCCTGGGCCATGGATTCTTGTCCTGGTGTAACTGTTTTGCCCTTAATTCATGCTCTGCACTGTGTCTGCTCTAGGCATTCCTCCAACTATAAGCTGCTTATTCCTTAATTCATGCTCTGTACTGTGTCCACTCTAGGCATTCTTCTGATTATGAACTAAGATATAATTATAGGTATATATGTACAGAAATATTCTTTAGGCACTCATACTATCAACTATTATATGATTATATAGAGAGGATTATATAAAGGGAGACTTCAAGCCCTATTTCTATAAACTAATATATGATTATGTAAAAGGAAACAGCTAAGTAGTAACACTATAAAGTGAGATATTCCTCAAGCCCTAACTGTGCCAGGGCTCTGCTTAGCTTTCATTCCTCAGTGCCTATATGGGGGGTTACCCACAGGGGCTATAAAAAAATTTCAGAAAACCTTGACTCAAAGCAAGAACCCACATTTCAAGCTTATAATCTTTAGAATAATCCTGTTTGGCCTGTCAGAGACTGCGGTAGTCATTGCTGCTATCCTGCACATAATTAGTTTTCTTCTTAAGCACATGGTAGGATTGTATTATTCTGTCCCTTTGGAGGTAGGTGTGGCCAGGGGTCTGCTTTGGACAATAAATTTTTAATTAGTAAATTATTCATCAATCTTTTTTCCTGCCATGGCAATCAGGAATGTGGCCAGATGGTTACTACTTTGTCACTCCATGTCGCCAGAGCATAGACAACATGAAGCAGAACTGCCAGCTAACCCTTGATTTGCATATAACATGAGTGAAAAATAAACCTGTGTTGTGTTAAGCCAATGACATTTAGGAGCATTGGTTACTATGACTCATCCTAATGCAGAAACTGACAGGCAATTTCTTCTTGGCAAATACTAATTTTCCCCCAGGCAAATGGTTCTTCAGCCAATTTAGGCAAATATGTCATCAGAAGAGCAAAATAGAAAAGTGCTTTAATAACTTTCAGAATTAATTCACGTTACAAGTACAACCATTTTCCCTTCTGCATTTCAGATGAAGATTTTTGACAGAAATAAAGATGGCCGGTTGGATCTAAATGACTTAGCCAGGTGAGTTCCACGGAAATGATATCATACATTCAGAAATACCTTCCTAGGGGTCTGATGACATCATGTATTTCCTTTTGAGACTAGAGATCAAGTCTTACCTGGAGTCTAAAAGAATAGGCACATTTTACCAAATAAACCGAGTGTTTTCTGAATCTTTTAGGGTAATAGATCCCTTTGTGAAGATAATGAAAGCTCTTCTCTCCAAAATGTACAATGCACAACATTTTCACAAATTTTATGGATGGGTCATGGCAAGACCCTACCCTCAAAGGCAAGACATTTATAGTCCCATGTTGTGACTTCATGACAAAAATGTCCCAAATCCCAGTCATTGGCTCCAGGAATATCGAGCAGTTGTTTCAGGACACAGGACTACTGAGCCCGACTCCAGCGGCACTCTGTGGTCTTGGAGTGTTGGCGTATCCTCAGGGAGGCACCAGGTGTCTGAAGACTAGAAGGGGAGAAGGACGGGATAGAAGCTGAGGTGGCTCAGTGTCCATGGAAACGTTGTCTGTGAGTCTGGTGTTGTGACACATGATTGCTGTGTCAGCATATTTTGTGAAATCCAGCTGATTCCAAACACCATGGAGTTATCTACAAAAAAAAAAAAAAAAAAAGAGAGAGAGAGAGAGAGATTCTGAGCAAATAGCCAGAGCTGAAACAATTGGACCTGGAATATACAGATATACCTGTTAGGGGAAGCATCTGTAATAGCAGGTGCCCAGGGCAGGGCTCAATGGTAATTGTAAGCAGGGCAGCAGTTACAGGCTGAGGCACTGTAGCAGGTATAGCTGGGAGAGTGGAGCTCCAACAACTGAGGGCAAGTTTTCAATGATGAGGAGGTAACTCGACAAAGTCACAGGAAGATGGTGGTTTTGTCTCTTAGTTGACATTAACCTGAGTCCAGAACCATCAAATCCCACACCAGCTGTCTCCTTTCTTGGCAGCTAGCTCAGCCAGGTTTTGATATCTGTGAAAGGGGACTCACCAGGAAGAATATCTTCTCATTAACGGCCAGAATGTTGAGCCCAGTACACTACATGGCCTTCTATCTGTGCCTCATAGGAATTGTGAGGCAGTCTGTGTGTCCTCCTTGGCAACCTTTTAAAGGACCTGTGTTCTAATTTTGGCCACATTAATACAGAAGAGCCACTGAGGGAGCAGCTGAAGAGAGTCAAAGCGTTTCTCCATCTGGCCTGGGGCAGAAGGGATCTTGGCCTTCTTGTCTCTGCTCCCTGGATCCCACCTGGTTCTCTTGGTCAATGGAGGCAGGGTTCTTCTCAAGCAGAGGTTGGAGAGCTATGTGAGACAGCCAATCCCAAAGCAACCAAAAGATTCATTCAATAGATGAGAAGATGAAAACAAAAGCTTGCAATCTCATGGTTCCCTCCACCAAAGACATCTGTCCACCTGTGCCTTGACTTAGTTGTGCACATCTCAGAGGTAGTGAGAGGTGAGGAGCCTTGTGTGCCATGGGGTTAAGAAGGGCTTAGAGCAGTTGCTCTCTGCCTTCACCGTCCATATGCAATATGACCTCCCTCTGTACACAGTGCTGAAATAGCTAACTTCATGCACAGACTGTAACGTAAAGGAGAAATAAAAAGAAAGCAGTAAATGATGAAATAATGTACATTTCAGTGTATAAGTGCTTGCATACAATCGTAGTGAAGATACAATGAAGTGGTCAGATGCTCTCACCTGTGTAGAATCATCGTAAATGGTACAGCTCAGATGCTGACTGATGTAACTGTGGCATTTTGGTAACTCAGGTGCTATCGATATGATTTTATGAAATAATAAGTATTGACAGAGTTCCAAATGAGACACAGTACATTCATCTCTCAACACAATTCATAAACCATGTGGAAAATTTATGTAAGTAGTAAATTATGCAGACCTTGAGTTTATACAAATAAGAATTCAGTTCCAAGCACAAATAATTAAAAGCAGGAATTTTACAGACACAGTTGCTCCCCTGGATATTTGAAATTCAAGTGAGACATAGGACAATTCTTCATTCTGTGGAAATTTCTATGCACTACCAGAAACCTGATATCCTTGGCCCTATGTACAATATGCTGGTTGTGCCCCTCTATCACTGTGAGAACCAACAGGGCCTCCTGCATGTGTCTAAACACTCTATAGAGGCGGGATTGCTGCGGGATAGCTACAGTCCTGCTGGTCAGGCAGGGACTATGCCTTAATCCCTTTAATAACTTCTCATCTGGTGAGAAGTTGTGTACTTAGGATTCAGTGAGTAGCTGTCAGTTGATGGCGTAACAGTAGCATTGAACAGAGATGCAAGGCAGCAAAAACAGTTAGCATAGTACAGTCTTCCCTCAGTATCTTCTGGGGATTGGTTCCAGGACCTCCTTGGATACCAAATACCCAAATCCTCTGATGCTCAAGTCCCACAGTTGGTCCTGAAGTACCCACAGATACAGGGGGCCAAGTGTATTTCAAAACCAGTTTGATATGGAATTTGAAAATGAGAACTGTGGTAAGCAGAATAAAGATGTTTACATCCTAAGCTGGGTGTGGTAGCTCACACTTATAAACCCAGCACTGTGGGAGGCTGACGTGGGTGTATCACTTGAGGCCAGGAGTTCAAGACCAGCCTGGCCAACATAGTGAAACCTAGTCTATACTAAAAATACAAAAAAAAAAAAAAAAATTAGCCAGATGTGGTGGCGCACACCTGTAGTCCCAGCTCTTCAGGAGGCTGAGGCAGGAGAATTGTTTGAACCCAGGAGGCAGAGGTTTGCAGTGAAGCAAGATCACATCACTGTACTCCGGCCTGGATGACTAAGCGAGATTCCATCTCAAAAAAGAAAAGAAAAAAAGATACCCATGTCCTAATTTCCAGAACTGGTGACTATTTAATGATACATGGCAAAAATGAATCAATTAGAATTAAGTTTGATAATCAATAGACTTTAAAATAGAAATTATTCTGGATTATCCACATGGGGCCCAATGTAATAACAAAGAGTGTTTAAATATGGAAGAGGGAAGCAGACAGTTAGAGTCACAGAGAGATTTGAAAATGCTAGTTGCTGGTTTTAAAGTGGAAGAAGAGGCCAAAGAGTGCAGGCAGCCTCTAGAACCTGAAAAAGGCAAAAGAAGGGATTCTCCCGAGAGCCTCCAGAAGGAATGCGGCCCTGCCGACAGCTCGAATTTTGCGCCGTGAGATTGACTTCAGACTTCAGCTTCTAGTGCTGTCAATTATTATGGTTTCTTTAAGCCACTATGTTGGTGGCAGTATGTTGCAGCAGCAGCAGGAAACCAATACAGCAACAAAGAGGTCTTAAAACATTTGAGGATCGGAATTTTCTCTCTCCTTTCAGCTATGAAATGCAGCTCAAATCCTCTACATAAAAGCACCTCCCAAGTATATGTGCCCTGGCTGGCAACATGATTTAGGCTGCCTGGTGCCAGCAAGTAGTAAAAACAGTATTCCTTGCAGGCTTCGGGGATATTCTGTCTTCTAATCGGCTCAAATGAATTCCCTCTACTCTGAGCATTTAGAGGAGCAAAGATTTTCACACAGTTATATTACATTTTATCTACTTTTTCTATATATCCTCACGACTGTGAGTACATGAATCTAATGTTGAATCTACCAAAACTGTCTGCCTTCTATTAAAGTATAATTATTACACAGAAAAGAGACAGATACTTTTGCTTTCTAAAACAAAAACAAGATTATTTTAAAATTGAGATATAATTTATGTACCATAAAATTTATCTTTTAAAGTATACAATTTGGTAAATTTTAGTGTATTCATAAGGTTGTCTAATCATCACGAGTATCTAATTTTAGATCACTTCATTGTGCCAGAAGGATACCCAGTGTCCATTAGGGGTCACTCCCCTCTTCCTCCTCCCACATGACCCTGGCAGCTGCTAATCTACTTTCTGTCTCTATCGACTTACCTGCTCTGAGCATTTCATATAGACGGAGTCACACAATTTGTGCCTTTCCTATCTAGCTATTTTATTTGGAGTAGTGTTTCCAAGGTTCATCCATGTTGTAGCTTTATCCGTTTTTATGGCTGAATAATATTCCTTTGTATGTACATACCACATTTTGTCCTTTCATCAGTTGATGTTCATTTGAGTTGTTTTCACTTTTTAGAGATTATGAATAATGTTGCTACATGTTTTGGGGCAAATATATGTTTGTGATTCTCTTGGTTATATATTAAGGAGTGAAATTTTGGGTTCATATAGTAATTTTATGTTTAATTTTCTGAGGAACTGCCAAACCGTTTTCCAAAGTGGCTGCATCATTTAACATTCTCACCAACAATGTATCAGGATTTTAATTTCTCCACATTCTAATCAGCCTTGTTATTGTTTGCATCTTTTAAAAAAATCGTAATCATCCCAGTTGATGTGAAGTAGTATCTCATTGTGATTTGCATTCTGAACATATTTTTATGTGTTTGTTGGCCATTTGTATGTCTTCTTTGGAGAAATGTCTATTCAAATCCTTTGCCCATTTAAAAAATTGAGTCATTTGTCCTTGTGTTTTTGAACTGTAAGAGTTCTATATATATTCTGTGCACTAGACCTTTATCAGATATACGTTCAGCAAAAAACTTTTTCCATTCTGAGAGTCGTGTTTTCATTTTCTTGATGATGTCCTTTAAAGTACAAATGTTTTAAATTCTCCATGAAGTCCAGCTTGTCTAATTCTTTTTGGTTGTTTGTATTTTAGACGTCATATCTAGGAAGCCATTGCCAAAACCCAAACTCATGGAGATTTACTCCGATGTTTCTTTCTAAGAATCATACAAACTAAAGTTTCTGTTTACGTAAATCCATTTCATGTTAATTGTTTCATATGGTATAAGGCGGGGGTCTAATATCTTTCTTTTGCATGTAGATATCTGCTTGTCCCAACACCATTCCTTGAATGTTTTTCCTTACTGAATGGTCTTGGCACCCTTTCTGAAAATCAGTTGACCATATGTATGGGTTTATTTCTGTACTCTCAACTCGATTCCATTTATCTACATATCCGTCCTTATGCCAATATCACCCTATCTTGATTCTGTAGGATTGTAGGCAAATTTTGAAATAAAAGATGTGAGTCCTCCAACTTTGTTCCTCTTTTTCAATATTGTTTTGGCTATCCTGGTTCGTTTGCATATTCACATGAATTTTAGGACCAGATTGTCAATTTCTGCAAAAAGGCCAATTCAGATTTTGATGAGGATTGTTTAGAATCTGTAGATCAATTTGGGAAGTACTGTCTCCTTAAAATATTAAGTCTTTCAATGTATGAACATGCGGTTTTTTTCATTTACTAGGTTTTTAATTTCTTTCAACATGTTTTATAGTTTTCAGTCTATAAATTGAACCTCTTGTTGAATTTATTAACTATTTAATTCTTGTTGATGCTATCATAAAAGAAATAGTATTCTGAATTCTATTTTTGGACTGGCCATTGTTAATGTATGGAAATGTCATTGAGTTTTTTTATATTCATCTTGTATTCTGCCAACATGCTGGATTTATTAGCTCTAGTAGTTTTTTGTTGGATTCCTTAGGACTTTCTATACACAAGATTGTATCATCTCTAAAGAGATAGTTTTACTTCTTTCTATTCTGCCAATCTCTGCTTTAATGGAGTATTTAATGCGTGTATATTTAATGTGATTACTGAGAAGGTAGAATTTATATTTGCTATTTGTTTTCTCTTTGTCTTAAGCTTTTTAAAAATGTTTCTGTCCTTCCATTCCTGCCTCCTGCATGTTAAACAGACATTTTCTAGTGTACTAATTTAATTCCTATGTTATTTCTTTTGCTGTTTTTTTGAGTTATTTTCTTAGTGGTTGCCTGCTAGATTACAATTAACAACTTAATTTAAAGTAAATCAAATTGTGGATTAATATCAACCTAATTTCAATATATAGCTCAAATTTTACTTTTATATAGTTCAAATGCCTTTCTCCTCCTTTCTGTTGTTAAAATTATGTCTTTATATATTGTGTGCTCTGCAACATAGATTTTTAGTTATTGTTTTATAAAATTGTCATTTAAATCAGAAAGCAAAAAAATTACACCCCAAAATACATTTATGCTGTATTTTATATTTGTTTATATGTTTACCGCTCCTGGTGCTCTTTATTTTTTCATGTGGATTTAAGTTACTGTCTAGTGTCCTTTAATTTCAGCCTGAAGGACTCCCTTTAGTATTTCTGATAGGTCATGTTTCTGGTTTATTGATGATTTTTTTTGTTTATTTGTTTGGTGACTTTTCTGAACTAATTCTATAAAGTCTATATTCTTTGTCAAGTGTGTCCACTGAAGTCTCTGCTAGGTTAGTTCAATGGTCAGTTCATAATTGGACAGAGATTTTTCTCAAATGTCTGGAACCAGTAAGTTTCCCAGTCTTTTGCTAACAGGCTCTGTGTATGCGTTAGGGCAAGTTAAATGCTATGATAGTCATTGTTGTCAAGATTCAGCTTTTTTTTTTTTTTTTTTTTTAGAATAAGCACTCCCCAGATTGCTGCAAGACTTTATTTTCCAGAGCTCTGAGAAAGTTATTTTGACCAATTTTTTCCAGTTTTCTCATTGCTTTATGGAGGAGAGAATTTTCAGAAGCCCAGACTGTGCCATTTTCCACCAAGATGAACTTTTAAAAGTCTTTCTATGGTGACTACTAATCCCTAAAGTTTTTTCCAATTTCTTTGTTTTTGTGATGTATGAATTTTTGTTTTTCAAGTTACTCTTCCGTTCTGCAGGAAATTGCCTGTACTTTCCACATAGCAGCGCTATACGTTTTTATATAAATGAGAGCTGAACAATCCTTATGTGGATTTTTTTTTTTTTTTTCTATTTAGGATTCTGGCTCTTCAGGAAAACTTCCTTCTCCAATTTAAAATAGATGTAAGTAGTGACATTTTCTAGATGGGTTTATGTCATTTCTGTTTCTCTGTGGATTTGAGCAGGAGAGAAGAAAGGAAGGCATCTATTTGCCCTACTTTTTAACTTATTTAGAAACAGACAAGGCTCAGCCTGGAATCCAGGGATCTTAAAGGTCATTGACTCAAAGTTTACAAAAGTTGCCCAGGACCCTGGAGGGATTGTACATCTGAATTGTCACATTGCTGGATTGACATAATGTTTTTTTCCTCACACAGGCTTGTTCTACTGAAGAAAGGAAAAGGGACTTTGAGAAAATCTTTGCCCACTATGATGTTGTAAGTGTGTTTCTTTATATTGTGCTGGCCATCTTTGAGTAGGAAACTGGTTGAGCCTCTATGTGGAGCCATCTTACCCAACAGACCCTAAACTTACATGCTGAATACCAATCCCATCTTTGTGTTGCTAGGTCAAGGTACCCTCAGCTTCTCTATAGACCTTCTGAAAATAAAGTAAAAATAGCCAAAGGAGTACATATGGTTGAGAAAAGAAAAAAATGACTCTTTTTTTTTTTTGGCTTCTGGGTCCCAAACTACAAGTTTTCTCCTTCTTGTAGAACTAAGAGTTCATTTATTATATCATGCACAAAAACAAAAACAAACAACCCCTCTGCCCCATATTTCAACTCAAAGAAATAGAGGAAAAATCATACCTGTTTATCATAAAAACGATTTTTCTTGTAGAACTAATTATTTGATGAAGAGGGGAGAAGATAAAAATTATAAGTACAAAATATGGCCAAGAGATTGAATTTCCTAAGGACATGATAGTATGATGTAAGAAGGAAGAAAAGCAGAAAAGCAGTAAAAAAGTTGGGAAAGGTTATAAGGATGGTTCCCTGAAACTAATCATGCTAGATCATTATATGTCATGCTCTCGGTAGAAAACAGTACCACCTGGGAGAGGCAGTGTAGCACAGGGGTTAAACACGCGGCTTCTGCGACCACTTATGTCGGTTTGAGTCATGGCTTATCAGCTATGTGATCTTGGGCAGGTTCCTTAGCCTCCCTGTGCTTTGTGTTTCTTATTTGTAAAATTAGGGTGATAAGGATAATAATACCTACTTCCTGGGGATGTTATGAGAATTAAATTATTTCAGGTTTATGAAGCATTTATGAGACTGCCTGACATATAGCAAGTACTATATTAGAGTTTGGTAAATACACTAGGGGAATGGAATCTTAAAAATGATACTTTAAAGGCTCAGGAGTAAGAAATCACAAAGAGAGTAGATGAGTTATTACAGTGAAACTTTAGAGAAGAAACAGATATTTTAATATGTATTATATTTTATAGATGTTCATGTTTGCAAGTGTTATAAAATGAGTAGAAAAAAAAATAAAGGGTCTCAGGCAGACCAAACGATAATTCTAACAGCCTCATTCAGTGTAGTCTCCCTGGATTTAAAATAAATATTTTAATAATCATCATATTACTGCCAAATAATAGGGCAAAATAAAAAAGTTTCAACCTATACCTCAAAGGATTAATATTATGTACAATTAACACTTATCTGAACTGAAACCTAGCACCTGGTAAGCAAATAAAGTCAACATATATCTTGCTAATGCAATCTGCAAAAGCCAAGGAGCTCAAAAGTATGACTTTTCATCTGGTTATATGGAGCTATTTCCAATGAGTGATTTTAATTCATGTGGAACATTCATGTCCTGCGTGGAGAACAGAAACTGGAACATGCCACTTCTAAATCTGTTTGCAGCCACACAAGAAAACGGATAAGGAATACGGAATAAAGTATTCATCTAATTTATTCCTTTGCTTTTTGGCTTAAGAGAATGATATTTGGGCAATTGGATCTTTTCTTTTTCAGAGTAAAACGGGAGCCCTAGAAGGCCCAGAAGTGGATGGGTTTGTCAAAGACATGATGGAGCTTGTCCAGGTGCGTGCAGGTTCTTTTTTACTATTAACTGGGGTGGTCATTTTGATTGATTCCACTGTTTATTTGTGGGAATCAGTGAGACTGAAGGTTAATGTCAAAGATAAAATCCAGGGATGTCGTTTATTTAATAACCTTTGAATTGCTATGAAACCCAACAAAGCTCCCTTGCTTTCTTAAGATTGTAGTTTAAACTGCATGAAGCTATCATGCAGATCTTTTTATCATCATTTTAAGGCCAGCTATTTTACCAAAGGTGCGCAGTTCCACTGAATATCCTTCTGTTCTGTTTTTTGGTCACAGAAAGTCCTTTTCCTCCTTAGACTTGGTTATTAGAATAACTAAAGCATTTAATTTAACTTCATGTAATAAAACATTTTCAGACTTCTATTTTATTTTTTAATTTTTACTCAGAGACTTCTCTGATCCTTAGCCTAAGATGGCTATTTATTGGTTAAGATGTTGCTGAGGTTGGAGCAGATAAAATTTAGATTGTATTTATATCACACAGCTGTTTATATGTAGGGTAGATGATGTTTAAAAAACCTCTCTTCAGGTCCTGGTGAACTGTATTGACAAGCTACATAATCCAGTTAAGCATTTCCAATTCCTCTTTTTCCATGGGATTCTGTAGACAATGAGTTTAGTAGTCTTGTATCCTTAGGGATTTTTTTATTGTGTTCTGGTCAGCCCAGATGGCAAAAAATTAGAGTAGCAGTTATGAACTGTTTGTGGAATTTCAGACTTCCTTGAAAATCTGATTAACACTATGGCGCCTTGCAGCTGAAAAATGTCCAGATAACAATTTTTGCATGAATCTCCAGGAAGTTTGTGTACTGTGACAGAGCAGGGATGGATAAAACCCTTTCCGATGTCTAATCAGCGGATGAGATATCTTCTGTGACTTCTTTCTTTTGTGATTCCCATCCCAGTGGATCTCTTGCCTCTTCTTTTCCTTGTTCACTTGTTGCTCCTGTTGGAGATTTCACAGGCATTTGCACAGCCAGAATAATGGATGGGTACTGGTGTGGCATTGCTTTTTATATTGATTGTTAGAGGAAAATCCCATTTTACTCATCATTCTGTTTAATGCCAGAATGGCTTCTGTAACAGAAACTGAGCAATTATCTATAGGACATTAAAGTTGCAGGGCAGAATTTGCCAAATTAGAGTTTTAATTCGCTTTTGAGAGAATGAATGGGACAGTCTGTTTTTGAGAGCTGCCTTGGCTCCCATGCATTAGAGCCAGGGGCAGTGACTGCCTGAGTGTAGAGCCTGGGGGCTTTGGAACCTTCCAGCAAAGAGAGCCCGGCCTTCCGCTCCTCCATGGCCCTCACACACAGCCCAGCTATGAGTGTGGGTGCACCGTCAGGGTGAGCAATCAGTCATTCACCAAATCAACCTCCCTTTCTCCTTCTTTGCTCCCCCTTTTCTTTAGTCTCAAACTTGTGGGAAACAGATTTTTTCAGATCAGAGGTGTCATTTGTTGCTGAAAACAGTTTTGTGGCATTCCACGTCTTCACCAGGCCATGGGAGGCAGCTGGGCTGCGTGGAGGAATTAGGCTCTGCTTGAATCAGAATACATCCAATGCACAGAATTTGAAGGGGCTGTTCCCAGAGGGGCTGCCTTGTTGCAGAGGTGGCTGCTGATCCTATTCTTTGGTAACTTCATTTTGGTTCTCTTCCCTTCTTTCTCTTTTCCCTTGCTATGAAAAGAACTGATTGGAATTTGTTTTATAGACGAGGCAGTGTAAAATGGGAGACAGTGCTTTGGACTGACAGATCTGAGCTCCTTCCAGATCAGCCATTATTAACTGTATTTCTCTGGCCAAAAAGTTACAAAATTTCTCTGATACTTGTCTCCTCATCAGTTATATGGACATAACAATATTTACTTCCCACGGTTGTGTCATGACTAGAAATAACGTGAACGCTGACCACAGTCTCTGGGATATCAAATGATTTCCAAAAGTAATAGTCTTTATTATTTTATTAGAACAAAGCTGCTGTAATCTTTAGAGTACATTTTTGAGCTTGAGAATAGTTAGCATTTGAAAGAGAATTTCATAAAAGGAATCAACAGCTCAACCCATGGCTATGTCATTCTGCTGGATAATCCTGTCCAAAATAATAATGTAACAAAAGCCAGTGCAAAAGAAAATGTCTAAAAGATAGATTTAACTATGTCAAATGGCAATTAACTAGCATATTTTATAATGCATAGCTCAAAATTTTTGCTTCCTTTTCTGATTACAAAAGTATCTCTGCATACTCTAGAAAAATGCTAAAAATAAAGGCAAGTAAAAGTTAAGAAGCTGATGAGAACTCAAGCTAAGAATGCACATTCTATGCTAACCCCCTGGGGTTCCAGGCATCATTTTATCACACCCTGCCAACGAGACCCTGGGCAAGTTATTTTGCATCTCCAAACCTCAGTTTCCTCATCTGGAAGATGGAAATTGTCATAGATCCATTTCCATAAAGTTGCCATGAAAATTACAGAAGGAATATCTGTATAATGCAATTAATATTGTGCTACTTCACTGATTAATACCATAGTAATAAACTACTATTGAAAACTCAAAAAATATTAGCTATGTCACATATTGATCTGGAAAGTGATACGGCTCTCATAACTTCAGTGACCATGGTCATTGCTATTTCCATATGATTTTTCTAAGAGAAAGCCCAGATATCAACAGTCAGTGTCCGTTTGCTGGATCCCTTCTTAAAAATCAGGATTTTTGAACCTGGATAATCTGAATAGTCTTTAATAACTCTGCCTTTCAGCTGTCACAGAGTTTGGCAATGGTTTCCAAAGCCAGTAGGAGGAGATGGAAGTAAAAGCCAAACCAGCAGTGTAGCAAACAAGACATTTTTTTCGGAGAAAAATGAGAGACGGGAAAAATTCTAGGCCATGCAAAAAGGTTAGTTGGAAGCAGAGATCAGCCTTATTCTTCAATGGATTTATATCATCTCTGCAGGAAGGGAAAGATCGCCACACTTTTGTCCTTGCCTCTCTGTGTTTGTGGAGTTGCTGGGGCAGGACAAAGGCACCTCTCAGTGTCAGCACCAGCCAGTTTGACACAGAGCTGGTTCCTAGGGACCAAGTCAGATTGTGGTCAGTAATTCAAAAGGAACTTATTGGGATTCTCCAGATGATGTGTTGACCTAAAACATATGTACACAGGAGTTCATTATTAATGTTCTCCTCTGATAATTGAAGGTGCATACCTTTATTATGTCTTTCCTAGACTGTACTGGATCTTTCTTTGTCTTCTAGGTTTCTTTAAAAATATTCACATGTAGTTTGTAAGCTGTAGTCAAAGGAGGACCATTAGTTGAATTTCACATTTCTTGGCTTTACAGAGTCTTTCCTGTGATTTTTTTCTTTATTTTCATTTCATAAAAAAGGGCCATGTGATAAGTAAACAAACCGATACCTGGAATTTATTTTAAAAGCAATTGTCAGAGAGCATATGCCATGGGGTCAGCAAGGAGCTGGCCCATGTTTCCAAGTTGGGGTCAGGGATTTTGGTATTTGCAGTAATAACTCTGAAGTAAGCTGATTTTATAGTCTTTTAATTCTTGGACAATCATATATGATATATATGTTGACTTTAAATGGACAAGATTATTTAGTTATCAAAACACCTCATTCCCCAAGCTCTGAAAAATAGCACCCAAGTCTTTCCTCTGTCAATCCGATAAGATAGAAGGACCCTGAGGAATAAATATGATTTCTTTTTTTCCAACAAATGTATTGAGATATGATTGACACTTTAAAAAAGCACTGTATATACTTAATGTATACAATTTAATGCATTTGGAGGTAAGTATACACCCATGAAACCATGATCAATGACACAAACTTATTTGTCACCTGCAAACATTTCTCTAGCCATCCCTTGTCCACCCCTTTTGTTTTTTACTCTTTTTCTTTTCTTTTCTTTTTTGTTTGTTTCTTAACATAACATTTAATTTCTAAGTGTCAATACAATATTGTTAATTATATGCACAATAATTTCTGTACAAGTTTATTATTATTTTTTTTTTTTTGAAATGGAGCCTCACTCTGTTGCCCAGGCCAGCGTACAGTGGTGTGATCTCGGCTCACTGCAACCTCCACCTCCTGGGTTCAAGTGATTCTCCTGCCTCAGCCTCCTGAGTAGCTGGGATTACAGGTGCATGTCACCATACCCAGCTAATTTTTATATTTTCAGTAGGGATGGTATTTCACCATGTTGGCCAAGCTGGTCTCAAATTCTTGACCTCAAGTGATCTGCCTACCTTGGCCTCCCAAAGTGCTGGGATTACAGGCTTGAGCCACCCTGCCCAGCCTCACTCAGCACAGCATAAAAGTCAACACAAGAATCTACAGCTTAAACTAGAAAGTAGAATGGCAAGAAATTCAAGATCTCTCAAGAGAAGGTAGAAATGTAAGTAATAACATTGGAAGCCAAATAAATTGGCTGCCAGAAGTGACCTGATGTCTGCCTGGAAGTGATGGGAGTTCCTGCCCACAGGCCTCTCTAAAGTTCTGTCTTTTCCTTAATGGACACCCCATTTGGTTTTTCTCTGCTACTGACAGGAAGAAGGTTGGCAAGACGGAACAATACCTAACATTATTGATAGACTCAATAAAGGACTGCATCTAACATGTGCCTCTCTAAAGAGCTTGCCCTTCGCATAAATGTTTCTTTTCACTTTTAAATTGTAAAAATGATACATGTATCATAGAGAAATCAGAAAACAGAAAACAGAAAAAACCAGAAGCATAACCTCTATGTTCTAACAGACTATGAACTGACTTCTTTCCTATGTATGTTTTTATATAGTTGAGATTATAGTGAATAATAGACATTACAGTATAATAGTATATATAATGTAGAGTACACTATGAATAGTCGATTATAGAATAATAGTAAGGGTCATTCAGTAACCACATAATATTTCACCTGTGGTTAAATCATAATTTACTTAAACATTCCCCTACTACTAGTAATTTAGATGGTTTCCCATGTCTGTGATTCAAAACAATAATGTAATAATATCCTTGTGCAAAAATCTTTTTGTATGTTTGGCCTCATCCCAGGAATAAAATTTCCAAGTCAAGTGGTTTGCATGCTTTAAAATCCCTGGGATCTATTGTCAAATGACAGCAAACATCTTAAGAAAGAGCAGGTGTGCTTTCCCGTTTCCTTCTTCAATGTCCCTTCCTCCAACCTGACTTCTCTTCCACTCACTTCCTACCCAGAAAGTTGATGATGACTTCATTCTGACCTTGCTTTGTCTATCAAGGAAGATAGCTCTCTGGTATATATAGTATATGTTTTCACACTATTATGTTAGTAACTTAATGTGCTGTCATCTCTTGGGTGATGAAAAACTTTTAAAAGAGAGGATAGGTGGCAAGGAGAAGGCAATGTAATCCGAAAGAATGAATATCTAACAAAAGAATGTCTGGGGTAGTGGGAACTGGCGATGAGAAGAAAGTTGGAAGATTTAAAAGGTTCTTCCTGGAACTTCTCAAATTAAAGCACTGCTGGGTACACCACTTTCTAGGGGACTTCCCAGTATCTGAGCAGACGTTTCCATTTGCCTGGTAAAGCGATCTTAAAGGAACAGCAGTGCAATTTCTTATTTTCACTTTACAAAGCAATGTCAGGTAATAATTTGTAGACAAGCTGAGGCATGTTGGTAGCGACCTGGATGGATATCTTAAGCAATAATGGTTTAACTTCTGCCTGTCGCCTTGTTTCCAAACACTAGCATGGCCAATAAATAGCAAACTGGAGACAGAAAACATGTTGTAATGTTGTGTGATTAGAGAATAAGGTTCTGGTTAATTACGTATGAGAGAATGGTTTTTAGTGGACGACAATAAAATGCACGTACCATCAGTGAAACTCTAGTTCAGCTCCTCTAGGGGTCAGAATGTGGTGCAGTGCCTTGGGGTCATAATGACTCCAGGACAGAGATTTGGGGAGTGCTGGTTAACAGAAGGCTTGGACGTGACATTTTATTATTTTAAGAGAATTGGAATGAACAGGAAAGGGTGGATATATGACAAGAGCAGGAAGGCTGCATTTGAGGACAGTCATTCACTAATTTCATAGCTAGAACTGAGCACCGACTACGGGCAAGAACTGGGAAGAGAAGGCCAGCCCCAAAGGTCCCCTGTTGCCAGGATGAAAGGGAGACAGATCAGCATTTTTCAGTCAATTTTATTTCAGATCCACTCTCACACTGTCCCAGGAGATGAATGAGGAAAAAATTACATTTTTACATGAAAGGTTATGATACAGTGTAGTGATTAATAGACACTCTAGGGCCTGCCTGCCTGGATTTGTATCTTGGTTCTGACTTGTGTCAGCTGTGTGACGGTGGGCAAGTTAATTAACTTCTCTGCGCTTAATTTACTCCTCTGTAAATTAATGATGAAAGTAGATGCCACCTCTGAGGGTTGTTGTGAAGATAAGCATTAATATATGCTTACCTCAGGAGCCTTTCTGCACTTACATTACTGACTTGTGAAAATTCTTATTAAGACTTAGTCTCTGAGATTTTCCAGTGATTTGTCTTCAGTGACGTGCATTTTTGAGATGTGGCATTTACGTCTCCTGACTCATATTGAGTTGCCCAACATTAAAAACATAACTCAAAAGGTCGAAAGAAACTTCCCTTACACGCATCCACATTCATTCCCACATCCCCTAACACACACACATTCACACACCAAAAACATTTTCTTCTCACTGGAAGGAAATAATGACTATCTCAGGAAACAAAGCCCATTATTCTTCAATTAGAAAAAACAAAACAAAACATAAACAAAGTTAGAATCGTTTGAATGAGGTAAATATATTGGGGAATTAATTCACACTCACGTATAAATGACTACAACTTGAGTATTTTCTAATAGTGGGATTTGCCAAAAGAATTCTGGGGCCGTTTAGTGGAGAAAAGTTTTAGCAGCGTCATTGAAGATGCTGAAAAGCGCACATCCCCACATCGCACAGGACAGCAAATGAGCTCCCAGCAGGGGGTCTCAGAACGCAGCCTGCTGTTTTCAGGACCTCCGGGCCACATGTATACTTGCCTGGTACTGACAGAGCCAACCTATTGACAAGGTCGAGTTACATCATGGCCTCAGAGGCTAATCATGCAGGCGACTCTCCACAGAAGAGTGAAGTTGATCAAGTTTATCTTCTGGTCCTAGACTCTTCCAGCTCCTGAGATCTCTCTGAACGCCAGCCCTACTCCGCTGTTGATTTATTCTGCTCTGCCATCTGGCTCCCAATTTCTGTTGCTCTCTTCTCCTTCCTTCTATTAAAAACCTGCTATCAAGGATAGATTTAGTGTCAGTCATTTACCCCATTGGACAGTGCAAAATAACAAGTTTTAATGTGGCTCGTTAGTGAAGGAACAGTTTTTTTTCCTCCCTACTGACAGTATTTTTAGTGATTTTGGTTTTGGAAGCGAGAAAACCTTGGGGGACGGTTGGGTAATGGGCAGTGCTTCCCAGATACCCCTGAAACCAAACCCTGGGGGTCGCTGCCTTCTCTGTTCACTCATAAAACTGCTGCAATAATCAAGGGGCTTAGAAATTTGACTACTTTTTTTTTCTCTCTCTCTGGACATTGACCTTTAAATAGAGTTGTGAACAAAAGTTTTCTGAAAAGGAATTTGGTGGAAAGCCTTTATTCTCATTAATAGGTTTACACTGAACCGAGGAGACGCCTTTCAGTGCAAACCAGGGTGCAAAGAACAAAAGGAAGTTTGGCCTTTACAGAGTTGGGGCACACACAGGTTGTCAGTTAGTTCTGTTATGCAAATAAAGGATTCAGACTTGCTTAGTTCCCATTGGTTGTTGGAGCTGACTTCTGATTGGTTAGTTTAAGTGAGTTCTGATTGGTTGGCTCAGGCGAGCTCTGAAAGTCCCAAAAAGAAAAAGGTGTTGCTTCAGTAAGCTGTCACCTCTAGTCATAAAAGTGTCATTTGGATCCATTTTAAATTTAGTGCCAGTAAGCCATTTGAGATCCGTCTTGAAGGATGGGCTCTTTCATGTTGACATTTATTCAGGGGTGCGTCACCACTCGTGTAATTTCATTAGGCCAACCTTTTCTCCATGAGAATGTTACGAAATTTTACAATGAGCACTTAGCTGAAGTCAGAGGACTGTTGAGGACTGTCTCCCATAGTCAGAGGACTGTGCGCTTGGCGAGCTCACATGGCGAGGGAGGTCCTCTGACTGTTGGAGACAGTACTATTCTTGGGCTCAAAAATGCTGCCACAGCTGTCCAGCTTGGCAGGAGGCTTAAGCTTTCTCTGCACCTCTGTTTCCTAATCTGTAAAAGAGGCGGCATTATTTGCTTCCCAGCATTATTGTGAAGCTTAAATGAAATAACCTATGAAGAATCAATTTGTTCAAGCATTCCTCACTTTTGCAGGCTTTTAAGCTTGAAGTAAAAAACTTTTCTAGCTAATAAGTATCACATTTCTAGCTAACATATCCCTTGGAGTAAATCTTACATCCCTAGCTCAACCACGTGTTTTAAATTTACATTCAGTATAACCATATTTTTTTAAAACCAGAGACACAAAAACCTCCTGCAGGGAGATAATGAAATATACGTTCTCATCAGTGAAGCAAGGCAGAAATTTATGATCGTGGTTCACTACTTTGAAGCAAAGTATCTTTACCATGTTTGCTAATAAGGCAGGCTTTCTATAAGAACTGCAGGGAAGTGATGTGCATTTTTTTGGCCTGAAGGGACATGCTGAGAAATGAAGCTGTTGGCAGAAAACTTATCCTTTGCAGTATGTTTCGTGGGATGAGGTGATAGACTCATTCTCTCACCACTGGGGCCAGTCTCTTCCAAGGCAGGACACACCCCAAGTCTAGGGAGCATCAGAGGGTGTTAAAGGGTGGGACCACTATTGGCTTGCCTGTTGACATACTACTTTTGTCGCCCTCAGCCCAGCATCAGCGGGGTGGACCTTGATAAGTTCCGTGAGATTCTCTTGCGTCACTGCGATGTGAACAAGGATGGAAAAATTCAGAAGTCTGAACTGGCTTTGTGTCTTGGGCTGAAAATCAACCCATAATCTCAGACTGCTTTGCCTTTTGCTCTTACTGTGTTTCTGTGCTCTTGCTGCTAGAATTGTATCTGTGCATTGCTGTTGGGGACACAGTGGACAGACTCACAAATGGTGTGCTGTTCTTGGGTAAGGGGAGGGATGCTAGAGCCTTCCTTCCACTGGCATGATCTATCCCTGCCTCACTGAAAGACTCCATGCAGTGTTTGTGTTGTTTTCCCCTTGACCCTGGGCTTTGCTTTCACCCCAAAGACTCAGCTCCCCTTTAGGTGACTCTGCCTATCCTTCTCCCATCAGGGCAGGTGAGTCCATTCATTTTGTGCTTTTCTTGTGGGCTTTCTGCTGAGTCTGAATGGTATGTGGCATTTGTGGTAATTCTGTAACTTCAACGTAGATTTTGTGTGAGTGTGTGTGTGGAAATAAAGCTGCAATTGGAAACACAAATGAACTGGTAATTGCTTTTGTTTTGTGACCTTTCAAATGTTCTACCTGATGGTTTGACAGAAAAACCACTAATCTAATGGGGGTTGGGGGGAGGGTGGAGAATAAGAGTGGAGGACAACATCTTCAAAGAAATGCGCACCACCAATCCTTCTGTAGTTCTCACTACATGTGAGCTTGGTGAGCTCACATGGCTAGGCAGGTAGATACACAGAAGAAATTTGAAGAAAATGTTTCCCAAGTAACCCAGGTGTCTGCTCCCTGCTCCATCCCTTCCTTTTCCAACAGGGCTCTCCAGCAAATCTGGGACAATGGCAGCTTTCTCCTAGGTACCTGAGTGCCTCTCATGGGTGCCTCTGCATGCTCCTGGCCCCAACCTGTGCTCTGCTCACTTCTCTCTTGGAATCCTGATGCCATCCCTATGGAAAGGAGACTGCTGGGGCAAGGGCAGAGCCTCTGTAGGGCAGGCCCCACTTTTCTTTACTGTCTTCACCCTTTATAGTTCATAACACCCCTACCTTATACTAGACTGTTCAGTAATTTCAGGCTTAGTGAAATGTTACAGATAATTCAGACAAATTAGTATAGAACAGTGTATTTAGAGCTGTTCATAACCCAAGAATTCTACTGTTTACAGGGATTTCTTTCATTGCACACCCTGGTCCTAACTTGATTTTCTTCCCCTCAGGTCTCCCTTACCTCCAACATGTAGATCATTAACCTTAAGAACTACTATTTACTAAGTGCTTTCTACATGCCAGGTACTTTCAGGGGCTTTCAATACCTTAAGTAATTTAATCTTTACCAAATCTCTGTGAGATAGGTACTATCATGATACTCATCTTAGAGATTAAGAAACTGAAGTAGATAGAAGTTAAATAACATGTTCATTACTGTAGCTTTTAGCAGTGCGAAGTCAGGGAGTCTGACTCTGGAGTCCTGTGCTCCTAACCACCACTTTATTTTTTGTTTTTATTTTTTACTTTTTTGTAATGAGCTTTTGCCATGTTGCCCAGGCTGGTCTCAAACTCCTGGGCTCAAGTTCGAGCTTCTGAAAGTGCTGGGATTACAGGCATGAACCACCATGCCTGGCTAACCACTACTTAATTACAGACAATTTTCATGCACCTTGCAGGAAGCCTTGGCTCCTTCCTGTAGGTTCACTTTCAGTGGGATCTGCCATACCTCTCAGTAGGATACTTCTCCAAGTCTGGGCCATTCAGCCCGGAGTACACTTTGTGGGAGCTTAAAGAAAATCCAGGAAGCACCACAGGGTGAGCCGAGCATGCAAGATTCTTCTGTTGATTGTCCAAATGGTGAGCTAACTGTGCACACATACATCCTTCACAGGACAAACCACCATTTTTAGGATTGAGAGCATCAGAACCCACAAAGAGGGAAAACATTCTGTATTTCCAGGATATCACATTATTCTGCAGTGATTAATTCCTCTTAATCTCCTGTTTTCTTGCTGTATTTTAAATAACAGAAGCCCTTCATTTTTAACATAGTTGAATTTATTTTATATTTATTAATTGCAGTATATTTTATTTTTGTTTTGAGAAAACCCACTCTATCTGTCACAAATCCATCCATCCTCCACTATCACTTTTTTAAACGTTAAAAAAATTGTAGTTGTGTGTGTGTGTGTGTATGTGTGTGTGTAGCCATTTAAGTGTATAATTCAGTGGCACTAATTACATTTAGAATCTTGTGCAACGATTACCACTATGTCTAAAGTTTACTTATCATGCCAGACAGA